CTAGGAACTCGTCTGCAGATGTCCACTGCGGACCATCCGCAGACAGACGGCCAAACAGAGCGCGTCAATCGAGTGCTCGAGGACACTCTGCGCAGTGTGTGCGCGGCAGCACCACCCACGTGGTCGACGCAGCTTCCAGTTGCTGAGTTTGCGCTCAACAACGCGGTGCACGCGTCCACGGGGCTCACGCCGTTCTACTTGAATGGCTTCCGCCACCCCAGAGTGCCTCTCACTCTTCGAGGAGACACTGACTCCTCTATTCTAAGTGGGGAGAGGCTCGGAAAGCCCTTTCCTCCCAGGTCTCGGATGTGAGACCAGTTTCGCTGCGGAAACAGGTGGAATCCTTTATGAATACCAAGCTGAGCATTGTCAGCAGGGTCCGCGATGCCATGGCAGCGGCCCAAGATAAACAAAAGAAGTACTCAGACAAACATGGAAGAGGAAACTTAAGTATATTTGAGGTTGGGGACTTAGTGTTGCTAGACACGAGAAACCTACCTCTTGACACTGTCAGCTCTGTCGGCAGCAACAAGCTGAAGCACCGCTTCATCGGACCATTTGCAGTCCTGGCCAGACATGGTGCGTCGTACACCATCGACCTGCCAAAGTCAATGACGACGCACCCGACGTTCTATGTTGGACGTCTTAAGCGGTACTTTGACCCGCAGGGGGTTGCTGACTCGCAGACCCCCCTTGCCCCAGCTCCTCGAAGCGAGGGCCGGTAACAGTCGTCGACGAGGGCGTCGGAGCAGGCACCCAAGCCTCGGTCGGGACGGCAAGGCTGCGGTCAAGACCGTACGCCGGAGGGGCTCCATACGAACGGACCCCGGCGCCATACACTGAGTACGCCGGGTACGCACCATACGCGTACGTCTGGGAGTGTGCCACAGGCGGCTCCGGACGTGGCAACAAAGCCTCGATCCGTCGGATCATGCGAAAGGCCTCGTCCAGATCGGACGAAGAGGCCCGGCGATCCACCCGCAGGTGCAGGCTCGCGACCTCTCGCTCCAACAGGTCCAGGCGGCCCGCAAGACGAGCGAGCTGGCCCTGATTCCCGGCCTGGGCGGCAGCATCACCGCCAGTCCCAAGGTCAAGTGCAATCTCAAGCACGAGGACACGTTGACGGAGGCGGTCAACCTCAGGGCCCTGTGTCGGACCCGCCGTCGGAGCACTCGGACGAGAGTGGCTTTCGGGAGGCGCCGAGTACTCGTACTCGTACGAGGGCACCTCCGCTCCTGTTTGACCGGAATGGAGAAGTCCACTTCCACGTGGAGCGGATCCTCCAGGAGCAACGGCGTCGCGGTAAGCGACAGCTCCTCGTGAAGTGGAGGGGTTATGCCCACTCCGAGAACTCGTGGGAGCCGATTGAACGGCTCCTGATTGACCGCCCGAAGGCTGTCGCAATCTGGGAACAGAAGCGGCGGCAGCTTCATAAGTAGTCCGGGGCTTCTTGCCTGAACGGGGTACGGACGATGAATGTATTCCGTACCCGCGCTCATCGTGAGCGCTAGAAGCCGCGCGTTTCAGGATTTCCCTTGGCAGCATATGCTTGCTGACCAAGTGGGCAAACCTCACACGAAGATCACGCTGGTCCAGGATGCGGGACAGCAGCTGATCTTCATGGAGTTCCCGTAACTCCGTGGGTGAGTACTTAAGAGACTCCACCCATGCCCAGAACATGTCCTCACAAGTACTCCACGTGGGACAGTTCTCGGGCATAACCCAGGGGTATCCCCAAAGAGGATAGAGACCACCTCGGGTCTCGGGCTTCTTACGACAAGTCGTGAAGTCCTTGAGAGGGATGCGGTGTGGCGCGAGAAGCACACACCGAGCAGCCTCCATGTTGTCAACGAACAACTGTTCTTTCTGAACAAGGGCACGTTCGTAGATGCTTCTAGAAGTGTGGCCGCCCACAAGGCCACGAGGAGCGACGAGAACCTCTAAAAAGAGGTTAGCCCCAGAGCTCTCCTCGGGAGGCCAATACCCTCTTGAGTTGATGGCAGCTCCCTGGCTGACAGGTGCCACCACCGAACCCCCACGCACACGCTGGGTAGCTTGGAATTCCTCCTGCTGCTGGTTGAGGTCATTCGAGACCTCCCGGGGCTCAGCGATAGCACCCTCCTCCTCTTCTTCCTCCTTCTCCTCCTCTTCATCCGAGAAGTCGAAGATACTCTGATAAGAGTGTAAGGTCTCCTTCTCCTTGCGGAGTGGAGACTTAGAGGCTGTACGCTTCTTTGACGGCTTGGCGCCTTCGGCTTTAGAGGACTTAGCACGCGCAAGACCCTCGGCAAGCGAGAGACGTTTGCGAGGATTCTCTTCCTCATCGCCACCGGCTTTGGGAGTGCCCTTAGCCTTGACGGTCGGACTACATACGTTCTGGGACTATGACCACCTTGATCACTAGCGATCGGCTGCACGCTGCCATCCTTGTGCTCACTTGGCACTGAGCTGTGCCCTCCCACAGAGCCCGCAGGAGCATCGTGCGTGCTCTCGGACTCGGCATCGTCCTCACTGCCAGAGTTGAACTCACGTTCCACGAACCGAGGGTTCGGACGATTGTCTGAGGCCGAAGGCGACGGACTGCGGCGCTTGCTTGTTCGCTTGCCGACAGCCGCGTCACCCGAGGAGCCGATCGCCTCGGAGGCCACCTGAGTAGCCTCCTTGAGTGCCGAGCCTTTGCCGTGAGGCTTAGTGCTATTGGCTTGCGCCTTACCGGCTGCAGCCTTGGAGCGTGTCTTAGCACCGCTCTTTGCAGTGCCACGAGGCATGGTAACGGTCGAATTGGAGACCTAGACGAAGAGCGCACAGGTTGCTGCTCGAGGATCTAACTGTGAAGTGAGCCTCCGCCGCGCTCGCGCGGCCAAGTAGATGGTTTTCGACTTTGAGAATGAGAGTTTGTGACGAACACCTCTTCATTCTGATTAGTCGGTAAACCGAACCTAAGTGGGGGAGGATGTAACGGGGTACGTAGCCCTAAGTGTACCCTGGTTACATGAAGCGTGACACTTCACACTTCAGGTGTATGACACGTCATACTCCGGGACATTTGGTACAAGGTACCAAGGTCGTTCAAAGTCAACCATTGGTCAAACGACATTGCATTTCTATAGGTAACTTATAGTATGTATTAAGCCCAAACTTAACCTACCTATAAATATACTCAGTTTACAATCTACCTTATTTAGGTCACTTCGCTCTCTTTAAATAAAGAGGGGGCCTGTGAACTGCCGTTCACTGAGAGTTTGTATACTCTCGGAAGATAACTTCCTCTAGCGCAAGGTGCTGTGTGACCCCGTCACAGCATTGAAGCGCTCACAAAACGTCACTTTGAACTCTTCTATAATTTGCTCACTGGGCTACTTCTTCCGGTACAAACCCCGCTAGGTGACGAAGAAGAGAAGAAGAGGAAAAAGTGCCTGCTTCCCGAGTTGAAGACAAGAGCAGCGACGACGAGGAAACACCTCCCACTCAAGTCAAGCAGTAGCTCAAGGGTTGATGGGCAGTACTTGCTCTAATACACGTTTATTGGACTTTTACATACATAAAATAATGTATACATGATTTATCCATTATCACGAACAGTATTATTTCTGGATCATCGACCACCACAGATTCGTATCTTTCTCGTTCTCGAAGTATCTTCCCATATCACTTTCAAATCAGCTTCGCGGCCCAGCAGAGCCCCGCCTGTTCAGCACCAACAGTCGGCGTTTGAAAGATCTTCGTGCAAAGGTCGTGCCCAGTTTTGTCTTAAAATGAGTATAGCGACATCACCAGCAGCGACGTTTCGCAGCATGACGGCCCTGAAGGACCCGGGTAAGGCGAAGCCGCCGGACCCCGCGCCACGCCAGGCCGACGCCATGATGGCGAACCCCAGCGGGCGGCAGCGGAGAGAGGTGACTGAGCAAGGAAGTAGTGCCTTCAGTCCAGACTCGATCGTCCCAGAGACGCCGGCGTCGACGCAAGAGGACGATGCCGAGATGGAGGAGCCTAAGCCGGAGGAGCGGAATTCGGATCAGAAGACGACAACGAAGGAGCGCAGTGAGCATGCGCGACCAGCTCCAGTGGCTACGACGCCGCGCGTGAGTCCGGAGCCAAGCGAGAGCACGCCGCTGCGCGCGGACCCACCCGAAGGAGTCTCGGACGCCAGCCCCGGCGTGTCAACCGATGCACCTGCGGTGGAGCCGTTCGAAATGTTTGAAGCGGTCGTGGCGGAGATGAAAAGTTTCCCGGCAGAAACTGCTCGGACGGCTTGGACGTCGACAGTAGCGGAGCTATACGCGCTCGCCCATGCCAAAGTGCCAATTGACGAAAACCTCCTCCCGAGTGGCAAGCGGCGCTATCCGCGCCTCAAGGGGGACGAGAAGACATTACTGCTAAAGCTGTTTTGAGAGATTTGCGTTCACGGTACTGGGTCATTTGAAGAATGGGAGCGGTTTGCTCAAGCCGCAACCCAGGATCTCTACAACACGACATGGCCGTTCAAATCGATAATGAACAGCATGATCAGCAAGGTAAAGTGGGCCAGGGCCAAGCCACTTAATCAGTGGGCGACCAAGGCACGTGCAGGAACGGCTACGTCAGCAGCGGGAAAGGCATCGCCCGACGGGGACGGGCGGTACCAAGATTTTATGTTCAATCCCATGGTATTCCGCACCGCCGACATTGCAGCGTTGCGAATAATCTGCGAGCGACCAGCAGCGGCGTCTGCGGGGCGGGAACTGCGGCCAGGGACGGGCGATGAGTGCAAAATCATCAGTGGGATGACCGAAGGCAGCATTGTGTGCCGGCGGATGCCTGAGTTCCTCAAGAGTGTGCTGGATTCCAAAATACGCATCCGGCTGCACCGAACCATCCAAAGCCAAGTGGAAAGAGAACTTCAGTTGCAGCTGCGAGGCAGAACTACCATTTGGCCCAGTCGTCAGCAAACGCAGATGATTCAGGAGGATATCCGAGTGGCGGCGGAAGAGCTACACGTTAATACGACGGAGCTGGTCAGCATGCTGAGCTTGGCCAAGACGATTAGCTACAATCATGTACAGCGGAGTTTGCACTTCTTCTTCTTCGACCGGGCAACGGCCCGGTCTTTCCAAGCGGTCCAAGTCCCGTTTCACCGCATGGTGTATCGACTTCTGAATGTGCATCGTCCGGACACTGGGTCGGTTTGGGGCCGCCAGCTTAGACGAGATGGAACACGCGTCACTGCACAAAGGCATTATGAGATTGAGATCTACAACATCACTCGCTTCACGGATGTTGGGAGGCTAGTGGCATACTTGCAACAACATATCGCGACGAAGTTTGAGATGGACGATATGGACACGTGCACCCCCGACTCAAGAACCTCCACTGTGTGGAAACTGACGGACCAGGCAGCAGAATGTCCAGATTTCTTACGAGGAATTGTGCGGATCATGTGGTACGGCCGGCCGTTGGTACTGAAGCATCCGTTCGTAGGCCCACGGTTGCAGTGCCTTCGGTGTGGTATGCTAGGGCACACCTTAGCGCGTGCCGCTATACGGACCAACAATTGCTGCAATCGGGCAGTCGAATGGCTACGGAGCAAGAAGTGGCCCGGTTGGAAGACATGGCACAACTCTTCCGCAGTTTAGATGAAGTCAAGCGCGCAGCCGCTACACGGTTAGCTCTCCAGGCGGCGGCAGTCCAGGCGACGCAGGTGTTAATCACACCTCCGCGGGTATCAGTCCAGCACCCCCAGACCTCGCCGGGAGCTGCCGAGCCAGGTTCGACGAAGCAGTCAGGGCCTGCAGGTCCCCTAGCGGAATCGATTATCCCGCCCGATCCCAAGAAGAAATGGATCACGACGCCACTGCGCAATGGCAGGAAGCGGTATGCGCATGCCGCGGCGCTCCAACAGAAATTGAGTGTCACCCAGTCACGATTCGCAGCATTGGACGACGAAGAGGAGGAGGAGTCAATGGAAGCCTCACCCGAGTCGGCCGAACAGGCTGGCAACCTGACGATCGTCATCTCATCGGGAAACGAACAAGAGGAAAAAGCCCATGTTCCCCTCACAAATGAGCAGAAGCAACAGCTCCACCTCGTGAAAGGTAAGCCGCCTAAGCCCCATTCCACTCCCCAGCTGGTAGGGTTAAAGCAACGAGAGCGCAAGGCGGTCCTCCAAGCGGTTGCCAAAGTGGCTCAACGATCAGGGGATAGGTTGACTCCTCTTCCGTTTGCAGGTGACGAACTGACATCGTTCGCGGCAATCGCAGCAAGTCTTGCGCTCAGCCCAGTTAGCACGCCAGCGACCGGCAACTGTATGGCTATGGCACTGGCTCAAGCGATGGCTGATGCCGATTTAGCGGCCCCTGATGGCACGTTGGACGAGATCACGGGATGCATCAAACGAGGCATTCAATGGGCTGGCCAACTACATATGTCGGAGCAGTACGATCACTACGTTCGCACGAATACGTTGGTGAATGTTGATCGCGGATGGGCAGGCATGGAAGCACATGAGTCGACGAAGCAGTTCAAATGGTACTTGGAGGAATACGCCAACTCCCCTTCCAACAGGGACGCCATCATCCCTCGGTACAATTGGGGGTGCAGTGAGTTGCTGGCCATGGCTGCAAACTTCCTGCAGCGCGAAATCTTCGTCCTAGCGTACGACACGGATGGCAAACGACAATGGTACTGCTCGATGTACAAGCCCAGCACGACGAAACGAGGGAAGCAACCATTTGAAGTGGGACTCCATATCTCGCTCCAACTCGGCAGGTGCACGGCCATGATTCGAGCGGCGAAGCTTAAGGGATCGGGGGCACCGTTGGTTCTGCGGCACTGGGGGGAACACTATTCGGCGCTCATTCACCAGCGACGACCCGTCGAGCAACAACCTCCTCCTCCTCCTGCGACTCCGGAGGACACTAGCATGGAGGTTGACCAACAAGGGGAGGCGGCGAGCAGCTCCGACGAACAGGGACTCACGGAGGAAGGGTGGCAACCGGATCAGTGGAACGGGGACGTTGCTGAGCTCCGAGCGCGGTTAGCCGGAATGACGATCCCCCATGAACTCAAATGTGAAATTCATCTCATCCTGGAGCGTGCGGAGCCGGCGAGATATGCAGAACTGCTAGCCTTTCTGGTCAACACGGCTTCCCAACTGTCTCGTGAAGAGAGACTTCATCTTCGAGGATTAGCTCTGGTCTCGGAAAATGAACCGGGGGTGACGGAGCTGCTCCAACAGTATCACCTGCCTCTCATCACGCTTAGACAATGGCAGGAGGAGTCGAAGTGAGCTCATACCGAAGAACAAGCTCTCCACATGTTTCAGGCGTCCAGCTCAGGGGTGGAATCGGACTCATCTTTCAGCCCATCAGGGGCAAGCGACATCATGCCAACTGACACGCAGGCTGCTCCAGTGGGCCGCAAGGGGACGCCGTTGCCAGCGAAGCCGGCGGCCAAACGACCTCATACGCTAACGCCGATGGAGGCGGAGAGAATCCGGCTGCATGTCAAGTCCATAGCTCGCCGGGATCTGGACACGGCCACTTCAGAACCCATGAGGGATGCCGGCCAAGGGGACGTACCACACGATACGGAGGGAGGCATCGCTTCATGGCAGGCGCAATGGAACCAACAGGCGACCGTGTGGCCAGGCAAAGCACTCGCAGTTTTTCCGCTGACATCAAGCACAGCGGAGGTATGGGCGTATACGGCCCAGCAGGAGCCGTCCACCCTGATCTCCATGTGTCAGCTTTTTCGATTCCCCGAAGAAGTGCTAATGCGCGTGGGCTAGAAGGTGCTAGAATCGTGGTCTTCATCCTGGCGGCAGGAATGTTTATTGGGCAGCCTGGTCGCGTATCACTATCGCTCTCAGGACGAGTCGGTCAAGACGTGGTCGGACAACTGGAAAGACAAGCTACTCAGGACGTCACCATTGCACCTTCCCCCACTCATCGACAACCGAGAGGACTGGGCAAAAATGCGAGCGAAACGCTACGGAAATGATGAGGTGCTCCAACTCTGTGACGTCGGGAACAAGGGGAAGCTGGCCCAGCACTTGATCTGTGCTTCCCTCTATGAGCGGGAACTGCGCGTCCTGACCGGACTGGAAGATGAGGTGAATACAGGGGCGCTTTCTCTGCTCACTAGGCAGCTTTTGGCGCTGGAGATGAACGCTTCGTACCGGAAAGCCTTCTCAGTGTCACGCAGACCGATCGATTGGAGAGCAATTCACCGCTTCTTTTCCACTGCCTTGGAGGGTGGAACAGAAGGGTGGGAACAGGATGATTAGGGGTACCTTAGTGCCGCCGCCAGCAATTCCCATTAGCCTGCCATCGGGACCTGCTAGTGACGTCTACGGACGGCTCATTCATTTGCAAGCAGACAACAACAAGAAAAAGAGAAAGAAGAAACGAATAGGCGGAAGCGACCAGTGGTGATTACTTACCCAAAACGTGAGGGGATTTCCAGCGGAAAGCCGAATAACATGGATAAGTGCTTGGCGACGGACGCCGGTGAAATGTCGGCCGTCAATCTGGATGCTCCAGGAAACTCATGTCAGCTCCGAAGAGGAAGCAGCCCACTCAGCCAGAGCGTGGAGCAGCTTATGGAGACTACAGCATCAGAGCGAAGGGCCAACTCTATCATACTGGAGCATTGAGGATAGCGCCACCGGCGGAGTGGTGATCTTGCTCAATCCGAGTGTTGCTGCGGATGTCCAGCCATGGTTACGAGATCGATGGACCAAGCACGTCATCGCTATCAAGTTACGAAGCCTGACAGTGGTGAATCGGTATGGCTCGAATGATCACAGAGAACGCGAACTCCTATATGGCCGCCTCGAGACCTGGCCGTGGGAACAAAATGACACGATCCTGGCAGGGGATTTCAACTGTGTCCTCAGTCCCGTCCTAGATCGGCTCGGGGGAACCCGCAATGGCAGAGCAGAAAGTGTGGCGCTCCAGGACTTAGTCCATCACCTTCAGTTAGAAGATGCTATGGTGCTGGCGGGCCACACGGACGATGAGGCGGATCAACTTGAGCCAACTGAGTATTTTACTTATTGGGGGCCGGAAATAGCAAGTCGTCTAGATCGCATGTATGTCCCTCAGTCCTGGACATCCAAGGTGCAGTGGGTTTCAGTGGAGGAACCAGTGGCTCCTTCCGACCATCAACAGGTCATAGTACATTTGACGACGGAACGCAGGGCCCACAGTCGGCAGAAATGAAAACAAGGGGTACCGTATCCAATTCGCTCGGGCCAACCAGAACGTGTGCAAGCTGACCTGCTGGAGCGATTGATTGACGTTGAAGCAGGCCATCAGGAGACCACGCACACGTGGGATGCGATGGTAGGCCATTGTGTCGAGGCCATTCGGTTCATCACGGCTAAGGAAAAACTTCGCCGGCAGGAGTATAAGCACCAGAATAACGCGAGGCACCGGGATCATTTGCTAACGAGGAGAGAACGCTTGGAGGCCTCCGCCGCAGAACGACGAGAGGAGCACTCCCTGCGAGTGGGTCAACGGCTAGAGCGCACAATGGATCGCCTGCGGTGGACCTTTAAACGAGCGTCGAATTGGGAGAAGGACCAGACCATCCCAGACATTCGCCGCATCCACGGGGCCGCCTTCCACACTGACATGTCCGTGGCGGACAAAATGAGAAGCGAGTGGACCCCGGTTCTAGGCACAATTCACAACAGTGTCCCCGACATAGATTTGGAGCAACAGTTCGATAAGTTTGTCAGAATCCCTGACGATCGCAAGCTGCAGGATCAACACAACAACCTCTTGATGCAGGAAGTCATTGATCAAGATGTAATCGGCGCGATTGCCGCGCTGAACCGACACAAAGCGGCGGGTCCCGACGGACTGAATAATGACTTTTACAAGGATACTCAGGCCATCATGGTGCCAACGCTGACTACAATTAGCAACGAGCTCCTCCAAGGACGGGATCCCCCTCCTTCATTCCTTGAGGCTTTGATCATTCCGCTCAAGAAAAAAGGAGAGTCCTCGCATGCCATGGACTTTCGCCCTATCTCATTGCTCCAAACCAGCTACAAGATTGTGACAAAAGTGCTCGCTACTAGGGCACAGCTGGTAATGGGCATCCCTATTGGATCTTCCCAACAAGGATTCGTTCATGGACGCCAAATGATGAAAACGGTGATGATGATGCTGGCAATTTTGCAAACGGCGACCTCGGATCCAGAACTGGAGGACTTACTCAGCAGGCTCATTTTAATTTTGGATTTTCGGAAGGCTTATGACAAAGGCGAGGGAATTTTTGTTTCTTACATTGCGAAAATTTGGCTTCTCGCAAGAATTTGTGGACATGCTGCGACGACTGCATGCAGACACGACGGCGCGATTTCTAGTGAACGGTGAACTCTCGGAGCCGGTCCTCGTTCAGTCAGGTATCCGGCAAGGCTGTCCGCTGGCGCCTCTGCTGTTCATCCTAGCGGCAGAAATCTTGGCACTAGCTATTCAACAGGACCCGGGACTGAAAGGGATCGCAGTACCTGGCGGAAAGGGGAGGTCCACAAATTCTCGGCATTTGTGGACGACTCCACCGTGTTCCTGCAGAAAGCAAACCAGTTACCCCGCGTGATGGAGAAAGTAAAGCGCTTTGGAGAGCTGTCAGGGTTGCAGGTCCAGCCCTCCAAAAGTAAAGCGATCTTTCTAAATACGGCAGTGGAGAAAGTGGATATATACGGGATCCCGGTAGTGCCGATGGGGGAAACAGTGCGCTACTTGGGGTACCAAGTCGGGACCGGCCCTTTGACAGAGGTGAACTGGGCGACACGGATTCGCGCTGTCCAGAGACGCTTAGCAACAGCGGCGCAATTATCCCAAAGTGTCGAGACACGCGTACTCTTGCTCAACGTGATCATGCTACCGTCGGTGCTCTTTAAGGCAGCGGTGTTCGAAATGCCAAGGTGGGCGGATCGCCAACTGCGCAACATTCAGAAACAATTCTTGTGGCATCATTTGACAGGCCACGAACCCAGTAGGCATAAGGTCAACCCGGGCCTCCTATTCACGCCTCGACAGACTGGAGGAGTCGGGTTGGCATCAATCGCCATAGCCTGTAAGACACAGCGGGTCAAAACACCATGCAGTGGCTTATCCAACGGCATGACACGTACTACGACGCGTGGAGACAGTGGACTTTCCGAGGAGCGAAGCATCCGTGGGCTGCAGGCGTCACGCCGACGCAGGTCGGAGGTGAGAGGACCGGCTCCCGGACAATGACGCCGGGGGACCGGTTACAACGCTTGATCGGTGGCTGGATAGCCCCTCGCGCCCTGCCCGTCAACCGGAGAACTGCGCGTCAGCACGAGCTGATTAACTGGCGGACACTGCTGAGAGCTGGCTGGAAGACGAGGAATGGTATCTTGAGCTACGAGACCCACTCCCTCCCCTACTTGAGGAACTGTCGGAGGAAGACAAAGTTTTCTGGCCCAGCTACTACTGGACGGACAACCCTCATATCTATGACCAAACAGGGAGGATGTTGACACCGACCAAGTACGATCGAATCCAACCGACGCCGATAGCGGCATTGAATATCGAGCGTATAGCGGAACGGGAATACAAGATGACGATACCACACACAGATTCAGGCCGACATCAAGCAGCTAAATTGCAACGGTGGGCCATAGCTATTCTATGCAGTAGTCCACGATTGGCACTAGGAGAACGGATGCAAGTGCGTGGCGTAGCAGTCATGAGGCATCCACCTTCTTTCCAACAGGATTTTCCATGGAGGGTGGTTGGAGCGCACACTATCCATGGCGTCGCAAGCGCAGAAAGTGACAGCGGGACCCCGGCAGTAATTCTGGACCAGATGCATAATGGAATTCACTGGCGTGTCCGGGCAGTCGGAGAGGGGACCGCAGAAACCCAGCAGGATATTGGTCGGCTTCAACAGCACGAGACCGAAGGAAGCATAGTTTTTCAAGCACACCCGACCCTCCATGGCTTTCCATGGACAGTGCCGGACACTATAGCGAACAAGCACGTCTTAGCGGCCATCAAAAAGCAATTCTTTTGGCGCAACAGAGGAGAAGGCCCCACAATCGCCGGGGTGATCACTAGGCTAGAGCAAGCCGCAGCAGAAAGTGAGTGGCACGCAGCTGCTTTAAACCAAACGCCGACAACACTATGGGCTCATGGTCACGAACTTACGGAGTACCAAGTTTGGGTGGGGTACGCGCGGCACTCGGGCAGCTCAACCTGTTCCATGAAGGCCGACTCATCGACAACAGCTGTAGGAAGCAGCCAAGGTGTCACGGCACGAAGGAAAACCTGGCGGACATCCTGTGGGACTGCCCCTGCGCGCAGGCCTGTTGGCAACGTTTAGTGGCACATTGGACAGGGGTCCAATGGGGTCTAGTGCACATGGGGAAATTTCAGAGGTCCTGTGCCAGCCGAGCCCCACCAGCGATATCATCAACAGTGGAGGTCTTCTTGAGAACTGAGCACCCGGATAAACCAAAGGACTATCAGCAGACATGGAATCGACTGTGGCGTGTCTGGTGCACCATATGCATCACGAGTCTGTGGATACAGCGGAACAGGGTGGTTTTTAAGCACGAAGAGGTGACGATTGCAGGAAGTGTGCAGGAGTTCTGGGAGACTGGCAACCGTCAGATCCAGGCGCTTGCAAAACGAGAACGTCGCAATCCTGCAACATTGCGGGCGGGCACAAGGCTTCTTCTCTGTCACAGGAGAATGGAGCAAGAACCGACAGAGAGACCTCCGACGGAGCCAAGCCAAGCTCAGTCGCCGGACCTTCAGGCACTGGCGTTGTTAGTCAGGCTGCGGATCAAACAGACCTCTAATCGTCGATAAACTGACCAAATAGACTTGTCTGATCTCTCTTTCAAGTATCTTCCCATATCTTCCCCATATGGCTACTGAATTAAGATAAAAATTGGAATCGAGGATTAATCATGGAAGTACATTGTCTACTACTTGTATTAAATTGCAGGTATTGCGAAATTTAACTGAATAATTTCTCGCGATCGGAAAGCTCCAACCTCTTAGCTTTTAAACGATACCTTGTGGTAAAATAGGGTCGTATTGGTCGATCCAGGAAGCAGTTTAAAAAAGAAAATTCGATCGACCGGCCGAAGAACACCTTCTTGCACGGAATTGGTACAAGCGTCCATAATTTATGGTCTCACTGCAACAGGTATAATCTTCCACTGCGATAGAAAATGCTAGCGGTAAAAAGAAATCTGCTGAGCAATTTGACCGGCAAATTGCTGGTCAAAGGGTCCTTTCTTCGGAGGAATATGAATATTTGAAACCTCAATACGAGCCTGTGTAAAATGTTAGACAATTTGCATGTTTTCATAAGGCTTTACTGCACATTTTTTTTTTAGCGTTTTTGAAATGGAAACGATTTGCTAGACCAGAGAATATTTCTAATTTTGCATTTATTAAAAAACGGCAGGTGCTAAAAGAACGTTAACTCCTGCTCTTGGTTGCCGTCCAAAGACTTCACCCATTCCGTCCGTCTTCCGGTGCTTCCCCCGGCGTCGGGAAGGTGCACTTGTGTGCGTGTTGCAGCTCGACCATCGGTCGGTGTCCACACCGCCCGAAACTGCGCGAATCAGTCACTGCGCTCTCTATTGATCCATCCGCGATACAAAGTCTCTCCCTATTCTACTCCCCTTTAATCAGGCCACCGTGGCCTGGCGGAGTATCTGGGTATCCGAGGCCAGCTGCAGCAGCACTCATCGAAGCCTCCGTTTCGCACGCCACGACATATAGCATCTGCGAGGCAGCCACACTGGCTGGCGACAAATCAGCGAAAGCTAACAATGGTTTCACAGTCTCCGCTCTTCCGTTTAGGCTGCAGCTGAGCTACCGCAACAGTCTTTACCTACCGCGCCGATCGTACCGCTTCCATCACTCCCAGCAGTGGGACAACGGCCGTCGCTGAGAATGTGCCTCGGAGCGGAACCCGACCCCAGCAAAAGACATGAACATCTCGCTACCTACTTCACCCGCCGATGGCCACAGGCGCGATGCAACGTCACCATACATTTTCCTTGGCGCTCGACCGAAGTGACGCATAGCAGAAACTTCAGCTGGCCGCAAAATGGATGTCGAAGCTGCCTGCCTCTACGCGAGCTTCAGGCCGACAGCCAGCAAGTTACTTACAGCAGCTGGAGCGCGTCCATCTGGCACCAAATGAGAATCGCTTTTGGTGGCCGCCGTCGATGCAAATGTCCTTTCGATTGAAACTTCGCTTTATCTTATCGTCCGGCCGCAGTCACCGGCAACACTGGTCTTATGCGTCGAGGAGGCAGCTCCAAACATGCGAGGCTGCACAAGCGGCAACAAGATAAGGCACCCGAAACGGCTCACTTGAGGTCAACTTCGGCTGGTCTGGACCTTTACGTGTGTGGAATCCGTAGGCTTCGATCCCGGAATTTCGCGGTTCCATGGACGACACGTCCGTTGACGAATTATGTTATCTAAGTACAAATAATAAGTACTAATGTTTTCTCGACCCGTACAGTGCATGAAGTTCTGTACAGATGTAACAGACAGACTGTACGTATTAATACTACGTGGCGTCTTACTACGTGCTACGTAGCAAGCCGTCACAATCCAATCAATCTCAATGAAATGTGTAGAGATTCTCGACTCGAGAAGCAGTTCGAGCGAAATGGTATAATAACGGTGTTACTTGGTTTCTCGCTGCCCGCTTCGTTGGTTGCTGCATCGAATTTAGCGATGAGTGAGGGCTTTTGTACAGTACAACCTCACTCCCAGCTCATTGTCTATTTGCAAACGAGAGACGGATGCGTTTAATGGACTAAGTACACGTAGACGTCAACGGCTTTCACCTTTCGCGCCTGTCATAAGTCTGGTCTGATTTAAAAAAAAGACTCGTGCACCGCACGACTTCCAGTTTAAAATAAGGAAAGCTCTAAACCCATTTTACAAATTTACTTAGATAAGATAAAACTTCCCGTCCGTTGGGGGCAGCTGGGCGTTTTCTTGCTTCTTTTCCTTGCTTTTTCAGCGTTCTTCGCCCCGTCTCCGGGCACGTCGCGGGTGGTGGTTCACTTCTCATTCGGCTGCCAAACTCGCAGCGCTCGCCTGCTCGACAGCTTCTTCGCAGAGAAGAGGCTCATAGCTTACTTGCTCGTGGACGCGACCAGACCTGTAGAAGCGCCACGCCCAGCAGCAGCACTTGCGTAAGAAATCAGGGCCGTACTTCGCCTCCAAGTTGTGCGCTCTTCGCTGGTAGCCGGACACAACTCATTACGATGCAGAGCCCACGCGAGATCTCATCCGAGCGCCAAGGCGCGCTAACGCCCGCCACCGCTCGCCTGGTGACCAAGCTGGGCGGCGAGCTACCCGAGAGCGGCGCCACGCCGCGCATGCTCGACCCGAACTCCGCGCGCCAGCCCTGGGCCAACCTCAGTGTAGACACCGCGGTAACCACAGACGAAGACGTCGTTGCCGTCATCCCCACTGCTTCTACCGCAGCTCAAGCTATTAATGCCGCATCTTCGATGCGCTCTGGATCAGGTTCTAGCCAAGTGGCGCTGCCGGCCGGTCTGCTGCCGGAACGGTACACTGCCGACTTGACGCACTGGCAGTCACCGGCCGACTTGCCGGAACGCCGCCTCATGGTCCAACGCATCATTGCTATGACTCGCAGTAAGCGCGTGGAGACTGCAGCATGCGCCGACACGCGCACGCCGTCGCTAGCTAAACGTATCGAGCTGTCACTGTACTCCCGCGCGGCCTCGTTCCACGAGTACCGCGACCTTAATACACTACGCCGTCGACTACAATCACTCGTGTCGCTGAGCTTCCATGAGGCTGCGGTGTCGCGCCGCCGGCGCGCTGCCATGATGTCGGGCAACGGCCCCGTCACAGCCGTACCACAACTCGGCAAACGGAAGTGCAGAGCCATGACGCCTTTCGGGGTGTCCAGACTCACCATCAAACGCCCACGCGCCGAGTGCATCGGATCCACTTCAAGCTGCACGCCACGCACTACTTCCAACATGGAGGACGATGCGCCTTTCTTTATCATGGATGAGGCAGTGTTAGGCCTCGTATTCGCCTTCCTACCCGGTCTCGAGACGATCCGGTGTATGCAGCTTAACCGATTCGCACGTCGCGTTCTACCTCGCTGTGTGTTGACACTCGAAGTCGAACTTCGTCAGCTTCAGTTGGCCTACACACTACGCGCCGTCGCTGTGCCTACTCAACCGGCAGCCACCCTGTTATGTCAGTTTCCTAACCTGACCGGTCTCACTGTCTTCAACTCGTTGAAACCGCTGTGTGACCAGCAAGAGGCCGGTCCGGCACTACACGCCTGGGGCTGCAGTGAACTGGACATCTCTCACGATAACGCCGGAGAGGAAGTGGTGCAGCAGCTTGCGGAAGGCATCGAACTCGGCGCCTGTCGACGTCTCAGCAGCCTTCGTCTCGTGTCGGTGTTCACTAACACATGTCGCGGTAACGCGCTGCACCTGCTGTGTGCTGCGCTGGTCAAGGGCTCGTGTCCGGATTTAGAGGACTTGCTACTGGGAGGCAATGGCTTCTCGGACGTGGGCACAGTGGACGTCGCGTGGCTGATCAAGGTCGGATCGCTCCCTAAGCTGGTGCGTCTGGACATCCGTCGCAACTACATCGGCGAGTCCGGTCTGAAGCGGATCATGGCTGCTCTACGTGCCGGTCGCTGCCAACAGCTCAAGTACTTATGCATGGGCGGCAATATCATTACGGACAATTGCGTGGCTCCGGTCGTGGAGTTGCTGTCGAGCGCTCAGTGTCCTCAGATGCGCTTCCTCGGACTGGAGGACAACTTCCTGAGTGCACGCGGCGTTCAGTGCATCATCAAGGCGGCTGTGGCCGGTGGCATGATGCCCAAACTTCACCATGTCTCCTGTGATGGAAAGCTCGGCAGCGACGAGACCCAGAGCGTGCGTGCCGCCTAAGAAGCTTAACAATGACAGCGAACTAAAATACTGCAACAACATCAAATCCAAAGTTAGAAATGTTAAATAAATCGAAGGAAAATAAACACTTTTGAGCTTAGAAACGACAAAACTTTCGTGAATTTCTATTTATTAGGCTGAACGTTACCCTAGCGCTTTCGCAGCATTTTCGAGACTTCATCGCTGCTGAGTAAGATGTCGTACTTCATCCCGCCTGTCAACTACGGCATGATCGAGGAGGACTTGTACCGCTCAGGGCAGCCGAACGAGCTCAACTTCCCCTTCCTGGAGCGGCTGAACCTGCGCACCATTATTTATTTGGCGCTGGAGGAGCCCAACCCGCAGTTCCAGAGCTTTGTGGAGGAGCAGGAGATCCAGCTCGTTTTCCTCGGGGGCAACACGCGCATGGAGAGCCGCCGTAAGGCCTGGGAGCCATTGTCCGAGGAGACAGTGCTCGCTGCGCTGGACATCATCCTGGACCGCTCCAACTACCCACTCTACATCACATGCCACCTCGGCCGAGACCGCACAGGTAACGTGAGGAAGAGCAATCTGTAGTAATAATGGTGGCTGACATTGTTTGATTTGTAGGCGCCGTGGTGGGTTGTCTACGCAAGATTCAGGGCTGGCATCTGTCGTCCATCTTCGAGGAGTACCGACGGTTTGCTGGCAGCAAAGTGCGGCTACAGAACGAGCAGTTCATCGAGCTCTTCGACACGGACTTGGTGACAATTCCAGTCAACCCGCCATCCTGGTTGAGGAACCACCTTTAGAAATGCATACAACTACCTAGAATGTTTGAAGAAAAACAAAACTACAAATGAAACATTGGAACTTGCATTTAACAGTGTCGAGGTTTGTTAGAAGTTAACACATCGCTCTGCATGCCTTCTTGTTAAGAACTTGTGACGACGGTTCCCCGAAGTCGGCAAGCCAGCAAGTCGCTCCTTACAAGATGCCACTTTAAAGACGGTAGAGGCGACCTGCGTAGATAATGACGAGAGAGTCGTGTTGCTTCTGTGTTTCTCCTTGACTGTGCTCTCCCCTCACTCATACAAAAGCCTAAAGTCTTAGCATCGGAAGCCTCCGACCTGCTCAAGTGCACAATCAATCTGGTCTTCGTCCTCAAGCTCGAGCATCTTGGGCGTCTGGTCGCCGCTAATACGCGTACCATCCAGCAAGAAGCGCAGTGCGCTGGCAGGAACGCCCTTGCGCTGTGCGTAGGCGGTAAAGATCTTGTCCATTTTGGTGTTGGGCTTCACCTTGAAGAACGTCTCCTCGCCCGACTGGTCCTTGACTCGGATAGTGATGGCCTCGGCCTTCTTCTTGTCCTCTTCGTTGTTCTGGTTTGTGTTGGGAGCTGCTTCGTCGGCCATGATTGCGAATGACTGGTAGCAGGTACACGGACAGTTAGTAACCTACTTGGAAGTAGTGAGAACAGGTGCAGCTTTTCTTCTCCGGGTCGAATCTCAACCGTTTTAAGGTTACGCAGTACGAGAGAAGCACGAGGGGGAAGTGAAGCACGTGGAAAGGCATATAGACCGCATTTCTGGCCTGCACAGAGCCGACAAGACGCACCTTTCCTCCAGTTGCGTGAATTTTAAAGTGAGGTTTTGTCGTTTCTTTCGTTCCACCAACGACCTAAATTAGGAAATTGCAAACTGGATTAGGTCAGCAATCCGAAAATGATGTTTTTGAGGAACCTTATTTTCGATATTCGGCTCCTTGCCAAACAAGACGACACAAGGAGCACACGGCAAGACGGACTCGCGTGCTACACACGACAAATATGGTGAGTTACGGTCGGACGGCGAGCTATTGACTGTACCGGACAGACCTGTGCTGTCTGAATTGGTATCTCACCGACGATGCACCGCCTTAGCTCGCTGTGGATGGAGATATTAACGGGTGTGTGAACAAATCTTGTGTGTAGCTGCCGCTTTCGTTGCTCAAGACGGCACAGGGCCACCCCATGGTACGAAGGGCACGACATAGATAGCTCCTAACAGCGGAATTGAGTTATGCGTTGTGGCTCGTGTATTGCAGCTGGTGGAGCTCAAGAATGGAGATACGTACAATGGACACCTCGTCAACTGTGATACCTGGATGAACGTCAACCTGCGCGAAGTCATCTGCACCTCCAAGGTACTAAATGTGTAAGAGAATGCACAGGGAGTGAGCACTTATGCAGCTTTGTCTTGTGTAGGACGGTGACCGCTTCTGGAAGATGCCCGAGTGCTATATTCGAGGCAACACCATCAAGTACATTCGCGTCCCCAACGAGGTAAACAGCCAACGCTAACGACGATGAGACCTATTGGCAGTATATAATACGGGGAATTATGTTGCCTTGTAGATTCTGGACATGGTGAACGAAGAAGACTTCAACAAGCGCGGTAAGGTTTCTGTCCTAAAGGTGTCCTCATTTTTTATTCATCTTTCTACGTTCTACAGACCGTCAAGCCAACCGCGGACGTGGTCGTGGAGGCCGTGGCAGCTTCGGAAACCGAGGAGGTCGTGGAGGTCGTGGGGGACGTGGGGGACGCGGAGAAGGAGGTCGCGGACGTGGCGAAGGAGGTCGTGGACGTGGGCGAGGTGGAGGTCGCGGTCGTGGTCGTGGACGTGGCGACAACTAGCTAGCTACAGAACAATGAGAGGGAAGCACTTGAAGATACTCGTCTGCACTTAGTACAAGTGAAATTCTCAAGTCAAATATCCACGAGTCCACTGATTTTTACGATAAGTTTTTGGTGTATTTTGAGAAGCAAATATGGGGCAGTTAAAAGTGGCAAGGCCTGGCTGTCATCTAATTACTTCGCTTCGCCGCCACTGGAGCCTTGCGGGTTATTCTTGAGGAGGTAAGCAGCCAACCACTCGATCGGATTGGGTGGACGCTCCTTCACAAGCGCTGACATGCCCTGGAGTAGAATTGGCACCACGGTTTGGTCCAAATATGCGCGAATGGGTAAAGCCTGCACTTCCACTTTGTCCTGGACGCTCTCGCCCACAGGTTCGGCCTCTTTCGCCTCGTCCTCGTCGTGTTTGGCTGCTGGAGCCTCCTGTGCTGACTCCTCCTTGCTATCTGCTTCGGGTTTGGCCTCCTCCTCCTTAGATTCCGCCTCTCTACTCTCCTCTGGAGCTGCATGTTCCTCCTGGGCAGCTGGAGCCGCCTCCTCAGCGGGAGCAGCAGCCACCGGCTCCTCCTCAGCGGGCGTGGCCTCCGTCACGACAGGCTCAGCAACTTCTGCGTAATTATTTAACAGCAAGACTATGAGTCACAAATTTAATTATTCTTAAATATAAAGGAGACGACGGACGCACCAGTGGTAGGAGCGTCGTCTTCCATGGTTTAGACTGGGGATGCACGCGCTGAGGGACTTGGCACCTTCGTCTGAAGATCACAAATGTGCTTGTTAAAAGTGTTGGGCGGTTGGCTCGAGCTAAAAACTCCTCGAGAAAACGGACCTCAATAACGATAACGGCTTGGGATTGGGCAGAAATGAGAGGAAAATAGCTGTACCGCACCGTACCGGTATTTTGTTCTGACCATTATTTTACACATAAACTTAGCCGGTATTTTGTTTCGACAATAAATATACGGGTATTTTGTAAGGAAGAGCTGTACTGTTTTTTTGTGGTGTCGTTGACATGACACTCATATCAAGGTTGGGCTTGATAGGAAGAGACCGAGGAGATGTGCGCAGTAAAGTGAGACCGTTGGATTATATCTTCCGTAATGCAATTCTTAGCGACTTGACTGTTACAGATAGGCTCAATAGAGCTGCACTGAAAGCGGCAGCTCGTCTTCAATGTGAACCCATTCTTCAAAGCGAACCCATTCAAGCAAGTAAAGCCTCCTCTTCCACGCCGCCACACAACGGATTTTGACGAGCTCTCCACCATGTCTGCAGGTTCCTGTACGCGGAACCAAACGGCGCTAACAACAGACTGCAACTCGCTCTGTCCCCAAGGTCGCCCATGCATCGCGTATGCTGCTGGTGATGAAGGCGAATGCTCGACTGTAGCTTCGACGTTCGGAAACTGTACCGCCGACGACTTCTGCGCGTATGAGTGCTTTGCCACTGGCCCAGACGACTTTGCAGCGAATGGAGCAATCGATTTCAGCGTTTATACTTTTTTTATCCCGTTTAGCAACGAGGTGGAGGCGGTGGCGGGGATTTTGACAACGGAATATCCGTCCAAATCCAATGACGCACTGCAGCACATTGAAGTACTGGATTTTATGGAGTCCACGACTGGAGTTGTGCTATCTGGAGGCTCGAGTCTCTTTAGTGTAAGGGGGAAAGTGGCGAAAATGCAACTCCCGCAAGACCTCTTCGCTACGGACACGCAATTGCGAAAAGTGTATGTTTGAATTAGATTATTCGACTTGAGTTTAGTTGACGAATTGTGTGTATTTGTAGGACATTGGCAAATCTAGGATTGGAGCAGATTCTCAAGTCCTCGTTGCCGTCAGGACTCGTGAATTTGACGATCTCCAACTGCCTTATGACGAGTTATCCGGACGATCTACACACAATGAAGGAGCTTGAAAATCTGTAAGTCTATATGTTTTATTAGCCTTTCTTTTATCACTTTGCTGACGTTTTTGTTGACAGGGATTTATCCAGCAATTTCTTTGGATTTTTTCCTGCGGATCTAAAGCTGCCGAAACTAAAAACACTTAATCTGTCTGCAAACAGCATTGCCAGTTTTGAAGGTGCACTGCCAAGTTTGGTAGCACTGTAAGTGTCATGTTGATTACGATATAATAATTGTAAAAGCTCACATGGTGCCAATACTAAACAGCGTAGTGATATCGCGAACAACAACTTCGTGACCATTCCGCCGGCAATTTTCGCTCTCAGAGCTCTTCGACGCCTCGATCTACGTGGAAATAACTTCACAAATATCAAGCTTACAGCCGCACAATTCAATTTTCTCCAAGCACTCGACGAATTCGACGTCGACTCGTTTGGCGACGTCATCTGCAACACGACACAGACGCTACAAACCACCAGCCACACACTAGACGTATGTGTGCTATCACCCGAATCCATAGAAGAACAGTCATCGAACAAGGCACTCATCGCCGGGGTCATGGCTACATCCTTCGTGCTACTTTTTATCCTCGGTATCATCTTCGTGTTCCGATATCTTCGTCACCGAGCGATGAGTTTAAAACCAGGATCTGAGATCGTCAATCTGCGTCAAGAGTTGATAAGTTCCACAGAAGAGACACCTCCATACAAATATCATCAAAGAGTAGAACGCCATTCTACCAACTCGACTCCGAGAGACCCTGCACCTCGACATGTGTTCCCTTACGAACACGAGCTTGAAATGTTGCTCCTCAACGTAGAGGAGCTCGAATACATTCGTAAATTCGACAACGAGCGTCGTTCTCGAGACCCTAGCCGCGAGGCCTTCTTAACACGCTTCCGTGGCTCCAGATTTCTCGTCTGTAAAAGATTGCAGCAAAAAGATCTCGGTGAAACGTCAGAGATGCAACACTTTGCTGAGGAGATCCATCTTGCCGCTTCTCTCGATCATCCACGAATCGTAGCGCTTGTGGGCGTTATTTGGAGTCGAATGTACGGTCTGGAGGCGTTATTTGAGTACATGGAAGGCGGCAATCTGCGTGTATATCTGGATAAAGCTGAGACAACGACCGAGTTTAAAGGATGGCGCTCTCAAAGTGCCTGGAAGTTGCAAGTCGCTTTCGATGTGGCTGAAGCGTTGGCTTATGCTCACGCGTTCAAGCCCACGTTGGTACATCGGAATCTCACGTCACACAGCGTTTTATTGTCTTCTTCACCAGATTGTCGTGCTCTACTGGATAGTTTTATAATTGCTAAAAAAGGATATCCCAGTACGTCCACCATCGATATTTCACATCGAGACGAGCGATGGCTGTCGCCAGAAGTTATCACGGGCACTGCAGACTACAGTCCTGCAGCGGATATCTATGCGTTTGGAGTCATTTTATCAGAGATTGATACGCATATCGTGCCCTACGAGAATACTGGAAGTGGCAGACAAAATCTAAGCGATGTGGAGATTCTAGATCTCGTGGCATCGGGTAAACTGCATCCTGTATTCACGCTAGGATGCCCGACAGGAGTTCGGGAGCTGGCTGAGAGATGCTTGAGTCTTGAGACCGCAGATCGCCCTACTGCACTGCAAGCTGTCGTCGTTCTACGCACACTACTTTCGGAAATTCGCACATCTTCATACACTATCTGACAATAAAAAACGGGATCTATTTTAAGTCGCACGTACTTTTGTTAAAACTTTTCTTACCTACAGGCTAATGCGTGTGCTGGTGTGTAAGAATGACGGATCTTTCGAGTTCGAGCCGGCGGAGTTGCATCGATTAGAGCGATGGAGTGACGTCAAGATGGGGCTAGCTCACGCACTTTATAGTGAGGAAGAGTTGTTCGCGGTGGGGTCAGCTGACGATATCGCTCTCTACACGTTTCCGAACGGTATTCCGGCTGAAGAATGTGAAGACAAAGTGAAAAGACTCGTCCAACTTGACACGCGCTGGGTACTCGATATCTTCGGTAGCCCATTCCGTCAACGCAGCGAGCTCCGTATCCAGACGGATCATGAGATTCGTGACGTTTGTCAAGGCACTTCGACTCCATTCCAACCCCTGGAGGTCCGTCGAGTGAGTGCAATGCACCATAAACTGCCCATTTCTCCATTGGGAAATGCAGCTTACGGAAGCTTCCACGAAGCCAATGTCGAAGGATACCAGGAGCCATATATTCATATTGGCACTTGGGTGCCTGTCATGGTTAGAGAAAAGAAAACGCCATTACTGCTGATGAAAAGTTCACCTGCAGAGTATGAAGATGTTCTGGTTACGACCAACCGAGCACGGGGGTATATCAACAATTTCAGACGTGCAGGGCGCCCTGTGACTATTATCAGTATTCAAACATGCACGTTGCCACTCGCTGCTGCTTGTCCCAGTGCCATCTCGCAACAAGGTCCTCGGATTCTGTACGACGGGGTGTATCATTTGAGCTCCGACGAGGTGCAACAAGGATTCGTTCAGGCTGTGCGACTTTGGTTCAGCTTTGATTGCGAACAGACGATCAGTGTGACGAAGGTGAACGGCGCAATGGGACTCAAGCCTCTGCGTCAACAAGACGGATGGATCGTAGTGCAAGCGCTACCTGGGTCGCCCTGCTTTGAAGCTGGTATGCGTCGAGACGAAGTGTTTCTAACTCATGTCAATGGAGTGGACGTCTCTCCTCACTCGTTCCCTTCTGTCGGTACTGGGGCTTCAGATGAACAGGCATCGGCTCAAAAGACCGGCCAAGTGACTTGGCAAGACAGCGTCGTGCCGCTTGTAGACAAGTGCGAGACGTGTATTTTCACGTTCTTCTAGAGATGGGTACAGCTTCAACATTACCAATTTCTAAATCTAGGTTGGAAAATAATAAATGCTTCAAATTCGGCTAGTTTATTTCTAACCAATTATTGCAATAAATAAGGAAGCCGAATTGGGTTTATCCTTACAGAATGTAAGTAAAAACAAGCATTAAAAAGTTGCTTTTAATAAATAATATGTATTGATGCAATAGAAAGCTATTCCGTACAAAAATAAAGTAGTATTTTTTTAATACCTTCTGCTAAAAATGGCTACACTACGATGCATCCCATTGTGCATTCTTGATCTTCTTCTTCGGATAGAATCCAAAAAATGCCAGCGCGTAACAAGGAATCGGAGTCTACTGCTGTGCGCGAGTTCAATAACATTCCCGCACGATCACGAGAGCAACGTGAAGCAGTTTGTGACAAGGAACAATGGGAAAAGGAGCGACTTCGTGCGCGTAGAGAAGGTTTCGTACGTGTGGACACGTCTGCTGCCGGTAGTGCCATGTTGGTGTACACACCTCAGAGTCAGGGGTTCATGAGCGACGCCGACCGTTTCCACTCGGACACTGCAGGTGAGGAACGAGCTGCAAGAGAGGGAACACGTGCGCGTGCCCGGATGCAACAAGATCGACGTCGTCGTGAGGCTGTAAACCGAGATGTGCGACGCTGGGACGCAATGGATGCCGCCGCCGCCGAGGATAAACGTCGTGGGGAGGCTTTACGCGCGTCGGGCTCCAAAGCTCGACGCAACAAAGGTGGCGAGCCATTCAATTTGATTACTCTGAAATACAACGATGGGAAGGATGGACAGCGATTGCAAGCTGCGGATGCTGCGATCAAGCAACGTGCCATGTTGCGAGCGCAGAATCTGCAGTACCACAACTCACGCGAAGGGATCAACCCTATCACAGGCGAATCAGCACGACGTGTTCAAACAAGAGACTTGCTGCCACCCCCACAGTAGAGCAAGGCTACCAGTAGGGTACACGTAGGATATACAGAGAACATGGCGGCGTTGTGGTAATGCAACAATACGATCTAAAAAGTATCTTCAACACCTGTCAGGCACGCTACGATAGTCGCTTCAACGAGGACACGTCGGGTCCCGACTCGGGACGCACGAAGCAGCAAAAAGGTTCCGTCTTGATCGGCTCGATGGATCATCTGAGCTTGAGAAGCCTTCAGATCCTGAAGGCTTCAGTTTTTTTGTCGTTGAGAATATCTGGCAGAGAAACACCAACGAACTTCGCCAATCAAGTGACAACGGTCTCAGCAGCGATTATGGTATCGCTTACGCCAGCAGCAGACACGCCTTCACCTGCACCCGACATCGACAGCCGACCGCTATCTGTGTCCCAGCGACTGCAGCTGGCGAGCTCTCAACGCGACTAACGTCGTCGTCCGGTTGGAGCGCTCACTGTCGTTGGCGAAAGGCAGTGTGCGTGAGTGTGTTAAGTTGGTAAGACGTGCAGCAAGCAACAGCTCTCAACGGCGAGCTTCCCATTGCCGTCAGTTGCCAACTGGAGTCCAGTCTGGACCGGTCGGCGGCCGATAGCTCAGGTTGAAGTTTTTGGTGTTGCACTGAGCAATGCGCTTCACTGTGGGATCATATACATGTTAGCCCCGCGGAGATTTGCACTACATGTATTATGCTCGTTTGCATGCGAGTCATTAAGTCAAAAGCTTGTTAGAGGCGCAATAGCCTTTATGATGGAGACATGCTCTAAGTCAGAGCACGTCAGGTCTGACTGAATCGAGATTGCGAAACACGTCCGCAATCGAGCGGATTCCCGCGCGTTAAATTGTATCTCGCTATCGGGTAGGAATGACACCTGTCAGTCACGGCATAGCGAAGCAACACAGTACACTTAGCGACGGTGCGATGGTGCAGAATTCACACCGACAGGCAATTTTTTACTTAGTCTCACTTCATGTAGCACCGGTATACATACTAATTAAGGATATGAGATAAAACACTTGTAGTGAGACCAAGTAAAAACAGACGCCTGTCGGTGAGTCACTCTGGATATAGCTCACTTCAATGGAACAATTTCACCATGGCAGTTCTATATTTTGCGAGGTGTTGACCATGGCCATCTTCTTCGAATAGAAACTCACCTGGAGAAAATTTGCCGTCAAACTGAAACAAGTCGATTCATGTCAACGACTATTTTGGGCAATTGGATTCCTTCGCAGAGTGATGGTAGAGCGCCCTTTTCTTTGCTTCGCATCATTTTACATACAAAACCCAGGTATTGTTCTAACTGCCACGTCCCGGCCTTGCGTTGCCACAACCACCATACGAAAATCCGCCCGTCTGTTCAAACCGGAGATGCTTTCCGTCTGCCGCGACCGTCTGACACACTGCGATTCGCAAAACCGAAGTGATGTGATTGGCTATTCGATAACATTTTACGCAAAACTCTCGCAAATTAACGTAAAATCCAACCGTGCCGTTTGTCGCAGCAGTCGTGATGCTCACTTCCGCAAACATGTCGTCGTTGCACTTTGGTGGCTTTCATTTCAGAATCCGCCTCGAGTTGGCTACGTCTCGCGCCCGACCTTGATCCGATCCAAGGCCCCACCTCACGTCACGTCAATGATGGAGAACCCGTTGCACTCGTCAATCCTACCCAAGGCCGGTGGGCTGCGCAAATCTAGCTCCACGCGCAGCTTGGCATCGCTGGCCGATGTGCAGGCACTTATTATCGCCCAAGATGAGGAGGAGCAGGCTCAGCAGCGCCGGAAGTCGCTGTCCAAGCCGCCGCGCCACTCCAGCGTGCCAATGTACGCTCAAATCCTACTGCAGCTGTGGCAGAACGAGTTGCAGCGCAACGACGTGGACCTCACGAGCGATTTTTTCTACGACCTCAACGGCACGGAGGAGGAGGGCGTGCAACTCGTGGGGCGCATGCAAGCGCTCGGGTTTAACATCACCGTGCCACAGTTCCTGGCCATGCACCGATGCTCCATCTACTCGGTGCTTTTGGTGGCGCTGTGAGAAGTCACAAGCCAAAAGAAGCAGAGCCCCACGTGGCGGTTTATTTTATCCGGCGACTACCACATCCCATTTTCCGTCTGTTCACCTGCAATTGGTGGCAAGTGTGCGTAGCGTCTCGACTCCGTTCAGTAGCATAGTAAGATAATTTATAGCGAACGCACATGTAGCATTCCCCCATGCTTCGATTGTGGCTTTTAACGTAGTAAAAGTATGATATTCGACTAATTTTGCCAGCTGCTGAAGAAACTTTTTTTCTCATATTTGTTTTTTTCGAAGTTACTTGCACGTGTCGGATGGGTCTCAAGTTACCTTTTTACTTGGACGAAAGCGACTATGTAGTCTGCTCTTGTGTAAGCGTCCCATTCTCGTGTTGGCTCGTGATGATTGGCGATGGAAATTGCTCTCGCCTCCCATAGTGCCTGGATCCACGTACTCGGGGCGCGGGTAGCAGATTTTGTAGTGCAGCGCCACATCCACTTGGTTGTGGCCTTGGCGCACTGCGTCTTCGATTGCAACGGGGTCTTTCAACGTGCGGTTCTCCTCAAAGCGTCTCCTATACAAAGTTGCAGGCCAGAGTTCAGATACGTTTTCCACTTTTTGCCACTGCGAGAACGTTCTCAATATCAACGCAACACTTGCGCATGGCAAAGTTGGAAGAACAGCTGCACTGCGGCTTTGCGCGTCACCATAACAGTTCGTACCTGGCCTCCTCGCGGATCCAAATTTGCTCCTCGAAGCCGCCTTCCCCTGCAACATGGTCGACAGGGCGTTTGTGATAATGGGAATGAAATCCCACGGCAGTTGTCGATCATATTCGGAAGCTACATGGTACAATCCAGCCATTAAGCTTGCGGCAGCTTACATGTTCTTGCTACACGCAGGATACGTCGATAGAGAGATATTGACATGGCGGTCGTGGCAAGTTACGTCGAGTCCAGCGTAGCGCCGGAGCATCCAAAAAGCTCACGTTCCAGTGGTGACAACGGGGAGTTGCACTGCGCATGTCGTCGGAAGGTGGCACCAACACAAATGTTAGCAAACATGCTGAAGATTGCACTTCGGTGTGAGAGCAAGATTTCACGCAACTTTACCTACGTGCGATGCAACTGGAGCACGTTTCACTATATCAAGTTGCATTTTGCTTGCAAATGCAAGAAAACAACTGAAAAAGATCCTTTTTCAGTTTTAGTTCGTACTTCGTAGTATTGTTGCAATGATAATTGACGTACCCATGTATGGCCTTACAATACCTGTCGATGCTACTTGTGTCTATTCCTCTTCTTCGCCCTCTTCCAGCTCCTCCCCTTCTTCCAACTCCTCATCAGAGCTGCTCTTTCCCTTCGCTTGCATCTTCAACCTCGCCTGACGAATAATTTCCTCGGCCCTCGCAGCTTCTTGCGCTTGTGACAGCGGTTTGGACGGCGTTCGAAGTGGCGAGAACGGCTCAGTCGTCGCTGTATCCGCCGCAGCCTTAGCGCCGACAGCAGCTAAACTAGGAGGCAGCGCATCACGGTCGCGAGATCTGGAGCGTCGACTTCGTCTAGATTCCCTTCTAGTTTCAGATCTAGAACGAGATCTGGAACGCGAAGCCGACGCAGAGCCGTGACTACGACGTCGCTTTCTAGATCGATGGCCTCGCCGTTTCTTGTGACTTTTCTCGCCCTCCAGCTCATCAGCCGACGAGCGACGACGTCGACGTGGTCGGTCTTCGTCTTCATCTTCGGGAGTCGTGACTGTCTTTACGCCTTCTCTTACGTCGTTTGGCCTTCTTTTCCTGCTCTCTTCGACTCTCTTCTGTAGCCATAGACACCCACATGTCGTACACTTGACGAACGTATTCCGGGAACTCCACCGAGCTCTTGTCCTCGCTTTCTCGTTGCTTCTTCACAGCTGCTTCCAGCTCGGCTTTAACCTCTTCACTTTTAAGTTTAACCTCTTCAGTCTCTTCGTCTCCGTTGCTCATCTTGACGTCACCAGACTCTTCTCCTTCTTCGCCTTCTTCAGGCGCGTTACTGTCTATCGCTAGAGCCACACCGTTCTCAAGCGCGTCGATAAAGACGGCGAACGTCGTGGCTTCCGTCACTCGTAACGGCGGCTCGCCACTACGATCCAAGTGCGTACGAATCGCAGACGCTGCAGGCTCCAGAGAGCGACGCAGGCGACGCACAAATTTGTCAAAAATGCGTCTCTGTCCTCTCCAGTTGAGATCGTCGTCATCTTGTTCGTCGTTCTCTTCCTCCTTCTCTTCCTTGGCTCTTTGCTCACTAGCAGCTTCTAAAAACTGCATCGAGAACTCGTCCCACGTACTCCCCACCGTCAGTTGCTGACTATTTGCCAGTTCCTGAAGCTTCTCGTTCAACTCGCGTCCTTGTTTCTCGATTCGTGCAGCACGTTCAGCTCGCTCCCGTTTCCTCTTCGCATGTTCCAGTTCTCGACGTTCTCGTAAGAAATCCTCAGCCCAGTCGTACACATCATGGCGGTCGACTATCCGCAGCGCGTCTTCGCCCACTTTCCCTTCTCCGCCCGGTAGTTCCACTTGCTCCAATAGATCCAACACACGGCGCTTCGAGTCGCTATCCAGACGCTTGTTCGAGTGTCCCCCCAACTCTAACTGGTTCGAGTCTGCACGCTGACGTAAGAGCGTCATGAACCCTATTCGTAATGCATCGCGTTGTTTAGCCAATCGCGCTTTCTGGTTGCGTTCTAAATCTTGCATAAAAGTGACAAACAGCTCTCGAAAGGTGTCTTCCCTGGGATCTTGGGTGACGGCAGCCGGTTCTTGATGTAGATCGCCGTCATCGCCGCTTCCGCCCAGAACGTCTTGTCCAAACGTGCGAAGTGAAGCATGCTGCGCCCGATAGTCACAATGGTCCGGTTGGCGCGTTCCGCAGTCGCATTGGTCTGATGCGCATATGGAACCGTCGGTTGAACTTCGATGCCATGGTCGTCGTAGAAGGCCTTGAGCGAGCTGGTCGCGAACTCCTTGGCACCGTCATGACGCACGAACTTGACCCTGGCATCGAACTGGCGCTCCACCTTGGCGATAAACTTGCGCAGACAGCCTTCACTCTCCGACTTGGCGCGCAAACAGAATCCCGTCATGCAGCCGCTGGCTTCGTCCGTGATCAGCAGCAGATACTTGCTGCCACCAAGCGACTCTTTCTCCATGGCGCCACAGAGGTCGAAGTGCAGGAACTCGAATGGCTTGTACTTGGGCTTGTCCGGGTTGCTTGGAAATGGTTTTTGGACCATCTTCCCTTGCTGGCATCCGCGACATCCGCTCGAGTTCTTCGACGAAGTCGGCATTTTCGCGCCCGTCACCATGCCGCTCGAAACCATTTTCCGCAATACGTCGTTCGGAGCGTGACCCATCCGCGCATGAAAGATCGACACCGTTGATCGAGACTTTGGACGTCGAAATTGGAGACACCCTTGGGGCACTCGCAGCCAGTAGAGTCCCGTCGATCAAGTCCGCTGAGGCAACGATCTTCTTCGACGACTTGCGCGCAATGTGCATCTCGGAGCCGTCAAACACCAACCTTGAAGTGTCCGCCCTCGGTGGATCTTGAGGCACAGACAGCAGGTTCTTGGTCGTGCTCGCATCGCAGAGAGCATCTTCGATCTCGGACGTTACGACCATTTCCCATTTAGGCAGAACCACTTGTTTGCACAACGCGTCCCAACTCCCCAAAATGTTTGGCCATTTTGTCGCGTCGGCAACCCGGAGAGTACGCCTTTCGTCCG